ACTTTTAAAGCCGGGTCGGCGTTTTTGGTGTCTAAAAAGTAATGTACAAATATTGCGTTCATGGAATTATGACCATACGTTTTCAGAAAAATCTGGACAAATTTTAGTGTGAGATTATTGCAAGATGCTAAGCCGAGGAAACGCGGCAGTGAGTATCGACCGATTGTTTAAGCTGCCTGAGATAAATTCAGCCATTCTGTATACGCATGGGTTTTTTGCATATAAACACCTTCCATAAAATTGCAGGAATATTTGGGAATAATGCCACTGAAACTTATGCCAAAACATGTCTTCCACACCACACGACGATGAGTTCGCACTTGCGTTAGTATGACACATAGGGCAAGCATATACGGTTACTCAATCAGTGAAGACACATATTCTAAATTGCTCCAAGTAAACGAATATAGAAAGAACTTAAATATGAAGAATAAACGCGTTGTCTCATAAAAAGCGGAATTTCGGTTGACATTTCATGACTAAGCCCACCTACTCTATATACGACACACCGAGACAATACTCCTTATAATTGTTGTTCCTCTTTGGGTCCAGGGAGGCTATACGGGTTTACGGGAGAAAATATGACAGTAAGAACCACATCGGCCCTTCAACGGCTTCTGTTGAATGTCTATCCAACTTTGAATGACAAGGTTTTAAATGACCTCAGTCTCTGCGCAACTCCAAGAGTAATTTAACCTCTACTTAAACACCAACATTCATAGAGAAAACTTAGACAAACACACAGCGCGTGATCCAGTAGGCCTTTAAACCAAACTAATCAAACGAATTGTATCTGCGAATGCATGCGATACCAGTCTGTGCGCTCGCCGCATTCTACGCTTTTTGAACACGTCTGGGGACCAGAACTGACGCTATTCAAATAAATGTGGTTAAAACGCCAGACATCAATGTGAACAATCGGCGAGTTGGTCTCGCCAAAACTGTTTGCCTCCAAGAGTTCTAGTTTTGCCCAATTGAAGTGTTTTCTTGACGATAATCGTCGGTATCTACTGTTCAAACTAATGCGAATGGGGAAGGAATGCAATGGGCTTCGAGGAGGCATTTACTTTTTTCTAAACTGATTTTGCCGATTCGAATCATATTGCGGGATTGTGTGAATAGTGTACTAGAATAAATGCCAGTGCAAAGTGTCGCTCGGAATTCCCACATCATATCCTGCAGGATATCTAGCGGTGTCTTTTTATTTACAGGGCTAGAATGTAGTTATACACACGTCCATTTTCTTCTAAAAGTTTACCAAGAGCAAAATGTGGATTTCACTATCTCACCCCGACACGATCGAGTATTTTCTAAATTGGCCCTGCTTTCATATTATGCACCTGAATCCAAACCTTACCGCGACCAGTTTTGCAGTTCAATTTTGGCAAATTATTTCGTCTCGTAAATTGACACTCCAGGGCAGGATGATCTTATTTGAAATATGGGAGTACTGGATCACCGAAAATTTCGAACCAACAACAACTTTGCAGTCATTCTTTCCTGGTGTTTATGATTTATTTTGCAGTTGCTCAAAGAAATCTCTTTGGAAACTGATTAAAACAAATGCCAGCTGGCAAGCCTCTAGTATTCTCGCGTTGGTTGAAGTGAGACAGCAGTTTCGTCCAGTTTTCAAACTTCTCCGCTGACCTCCATATGTTTCTCCCAAGCATGCAGACTTAGGTGCAGCCAGTGGTCAACTTTTGTGCTAATAAAAGGACACCGACGCAGAATGTTCCCATTCGTCGTCGACAGACAGTTGCAGTATTTGTCTCCGTGTGCAAGGAGATGGGGGATCAAGTACTTGATCATAACAGTCTAGAGATGAGACAGGCTACTTGTTGTAAAGACATATCAAAAAGAGGCGAAAGCCAGTTTCATAGCAAATCCGGTCTTTTAAGCTAACATATTATTTGCAGCGGCATTGTACGCTCCATAAGGGAAGTGAGGGAGTAAGTAATGCCGGTCCCAAAGCATTCACAGACGGAGAACATGCCGCTAATTCGGCTTGATCAAAAACGTGAAAAGTAGGAATACTCACATAAAGAGTTTTTTGCCGAAAAATAAAATGCTTGTCATTTTTGCCTGTCGTTCGCAGCTTATCCTAGAGGTTCACACAGTTGCTAATTATTATGAAAGCTACGGTGAACTACATGCTGCGCAGCGTTTGGAATGAAAGGCTTTCCTCCTACGACCGGTGGTTTACCAATATCCGTAGATAAATCCCTTTTGCAATTGCTATCATTATCTGCTTCCTTTGTAGTTTACGGTTTTGTCAGATGCCTTAGACTGACAAATGAATCTAATGCGGTTCTGATAGGTGAAATTGCGAATATATGCTCAACTGTTGGTAAAAATGTCAATATTCTTGAAACAAACACCAAAGGTTAAACGCCTCTGATGCCAAAATCGCTGATAAGGGAGCACCTTATGAATTGATGAAATGCCGCTTGGTAATTTGTAGGCAGTCCATTCACTCTGCGGCGTCTCCAAATTTATATCAAAAGCACTTGCTTTGAAGTCATCCAATTTCAAAAGGGTGCACTTTCGTTAGCACCTGACAGGTGATCAGACAATTGTGCAGATACTATGTTAAAATATATTTCGTAGCTAAGAAATATTTTGAAAGACCATGTGTCATTTTAAATGCATTTGACTGCCCTTGAATAAGCACATATATTGCAATGTTTTCATTAGACGCCTAAGGGTCTTTCTTCGGCGTTTGATGGCCATGCAGTGAAATGATTCTCTGAAGGTTGAAATAATGAGGAACACCTCCGTTGAAATACTGTGACCGAGAATTCGCATATCATACTTTACCTCCAAGGCAACATGCTGTTTTGTTATTATGCTCGTAAAACCAACAAGGTACAAAATTGATTTCCCCATCACCAATATCCGGTTAAGCTGCCGGAGTAGTCCTCAACTGATTTAACATGAAATTGATCAGTTTAAACAATCATCGCACTTCGAGTGGACCGAAGGATTTGCGTCCTAATAATTAACTGCAACACTCTTACTTTGTCGAGATGTCACACACTGCCACATTTTGGAGCTCCTTTGTCCCATGTCTTCTGTCTAAATGTAAATGGGCCTTTTTAACAAAATTCACAATGTTCCCAGAAACTTTTCTTTGACGAGATACAAACGATATCTACCGCACAGTTTACCACATTCTTGTCAGAAAACGACTTCCGTCCAAAAAGAGCACACTGCTCAAAACTCGGTATACTTAAAGTATTGAAGTGTTACGAGTTCGATGGCAGCGGTATAGAGAAGAACCCCACTTAACTGTCAGTAAACTATGGATCGCGTCATATGGATCAGATCAGATCGGATTTATTAAGGGAAAAGTAGGCGAGCGCCTTTGAACTACCTTTTGGTTACAATAACGTCATAAAAAAACAATGTGTAAGGCAAGTGTGAAAAAATTAGGTAAGTGATTACATACAGCAAGCATTGGTCACTGGTATGAATTTGTCTGTGAATGCCTTCTATGTCAAAATTGTACAATATCCAGTACGGCAATGAATGGACCAAGTAATATCGAAGCAAGCGCATATGTGGCGGTCAGGAGATAGCGAAAATTGAAAAACGTAATGTTACTAAAATATAGGGAGTAGCATGCTTTGTAACATAAAACGTTGGATGGGGCGGGTGGCACAGGGGGGAATTCGTTAGTTCTGATGCTGTGGAGGTACATATCCCTGTACTGGTCAAGTTTTCTCTTAAATGAGTCCACGGATGAGGACATGACGACACCCACAGGCAGGGCGTTCCATGCATTTACCACTCTGTGGCTGAAGAAGGACCTCCTTGCGTCCAGTCTCGCTCCTGTCACACGTAGTTTCAGAGGGTGTCCTCTCAAGCTAGTAGTGGTGGCCAGCTCAAAGAAGTCGCCGGATGCGAGGCAGCAGTCCTGACCCCGTAACATATTAAACGTTTGAATTAAGTCGCCACGGAGTTGTCTGTAGTCCAGGGGAAAGAGGTTAAGATTTGAAAGTCTGGTTTCGTAAGGTAGGTTTTTGTGACCTCTGACAAGCCTGGTTGCCCGTCGTTGGACTTTTTCGAGGGTGGTACGATCCTTAACAGTCCAGGGTCTCCAGGCCTGAATGGCAAATTCTAACTGTGGGCGAACAAACATCCCGAAGACCTTGCGGAAGCGCTGTTCATCGAACTTGGCAAATGCCCGCTTAATGAGATATAAGCTGGACATTGCGGATTTCGCTGCTTTCAAGCAGTGGAATGATGGCTTTAGTGAAGATGCTATCCACACCTCTAGGTCTTCCTGAACCTCTACCAGTGGCAGCGGTGTGTGATTTAGATAGTACGTCTGCCGGTGCGCAGAGCTGGTTCTGCCAATCCTCAGAATGTTGCATTTGGTAACATTAAATGGGAGGAGCCAGTGGCCTGACCATTTTTCGAGTCGGTCTAAGTTTGCCTGTAAATTTGCTTCATCGTCCTCGTTGCGGATGACGGTCCAAAGCTTTATATCGTCAGCAAACACGGCAATCTTGCAGTTCAATCCATGGAAACAGTCATCAATATAGATGAGGAAGAGGATAGGGCCAAGAACGGAGCCCTGAGGTACTCCGCTCGTAACCGTCACCTCTGCCGAGTGCTGGCCACCAAGACGAACAGTCTGGGACCGACCGACCAAAAAGTTTTCAATCCACTTCAAAAGCTTGCCTCTTACCCCTATGAGGCTGAGCTTGTGTAGGAGACGTTGGTGTGGCACGCTGTCAAAGGCCTTCTTGAAGTCTATGTAGGCCACATGCACAACGTTTCCTTCATCAATCGCTCGGGTCCACTGTTCAAGGCAGTAGAGTAGATTGGTCAAGCAGGACCTCCCTCTGCGGAAACCGTGCTCTGCATCGCACAGAAGATGATTTTGCTCTAAAAACCGCATCAGTTTGCGTTTGATTATTCGCTCCATAACTTTGCAGCATATGGAGGTGAGGCTTACTGGTCGGTAGTTGTTTGCGGAAGCGCGACTGCCATTTTTATGAAATCCACGCGGTCTTCCACTCAGGAGGCAGTCTGCCTGCATCAACAGAGGCTTGGAAGAGGACGCTCAGAGGTTCTGCCAATTCTGTGGCTAATTCCTTCAACAACTTTGCCGGTATTTCGTCAGGACGGGGCGAGGTCCCTTCTTTTAGCTTCAGTAATTCCTGTTGAACAATAGGTTTTGTGAGAACCACTGAGTCAATTGTCGGGACAGTGTCCACATTACAGTGATCAGTGGGTACAGCGACTTCTCTCGTAAAGACCGACTGAAAGAACCTGGACAGATGCTCAGCCTTTTCGTCGTCCTTGTAAAGTTCAACGCCATCATCAGTTTTTAGCATAGGGATGGGATCCCTGTTGCGAGTACTTTGTCTTATGTAGTTGAAGAAATGTTTTGGGTTTTCTCCTGCACAGTTTAAAAGGTTACCCTCGAAGTCTTGGCGGGCTTTGTAAACAAGGCACTTTACCCTATTCCGCTGAGCCTTATACCTATTTCTTGATTCAGTTGTCTTGTCCCTAAGATATGCTTTCCACAGCTTTTGCTTACGGTTTACTTCAACTTTTAGTGAACCCTTTAGCCATCGGGGCTTGCTGGTGATTTTCTTTTTCGACATAGGGCAGTATCTGATGGTAAGTTCATTCAGTATGGCCTTAAGTTCTAGCCAGTCCTTGAGGACACACCCCGTAAATGCTGCTTTCCAGTCTCTACGACGCATGTCGAGACGCATTTGGTTGAAGTCACCACGCCATATGTTGCGTCTAATCACGATGCTTTGATCGGGTACAGGGAAGAGAGAATACGTCCACTGTAGGACTACATGGTCGCTTTTTCTGAGAGGGAGTAGACAGTTTACAACATCAACGCTTTCCGGTGCCTTTGTCAATACAAGGTCTAAGCAGTTAGCTAGTTGTCCTTCACGTAGTCTGGTTGGGGATAAGACGTGTTGTGTGAGATGCGATCTTTGCACAGAATTTAGGAGGCGGCGATCAAAGTTAAATTCTGAGCCCGGGGCAGAAGTCAGATTCCAGTCGATATTCGGAGCGTTAAAGTCGCCCATAATCATGACATTGGGTCGGAGGGAAATCGCTTCTAATTCCTCTAGTAGACTACTGTCTGATTGCGGGTCGTTCCTCGGTGGGCGGTAGACCGTCAGGATCTCGAGAGGTTGTGACCCCGGCGTTTTGACGGTGAGCCAAATTGTTTCAGTTGTGCGCGCGAGCTGTGCCTCTTTTGCTGACGCATAAAGGCCATATTTGACATACACGAGCACACCTCCACCTTGACGTCCCACCCTGTCCTTTCTGAACAAGTGATAACCAGATAAAGTGACTTCGCGATCGTCTACGCTCGCGGACAGCCACGTTTCAGTTATGGATATAACATCGCGTAAAGTTTGGTTAACGTAGATTTTAAGCTCATCTAATTTAGATAGCAGACTTTGCGCATTGGAATACAAGCATTTTAGCTTTTTTTCCTTTGGTAAGCCGGCTATGACGCCGCCTTTGCCAGTTGTCTCGGCTGTGGCGACATACGCACGGGCCGTGTCCATATGAAGCGGGACAGTCGCTCGATTATGCAGTTGTTGTAGATAACCAGGCCTTGTTCGCCATTCATTTGTCGCAGCCGTAGCTCCTGAACTAACTGTCGGCGTTTTATCCGCTCCGCTGGTGTGTAATCCGGCTGGAAAAAACTCCTTGGTGGGAATATTTTAACCTAAAACGTCTTGAGAGGATGAGATCAACATGCTCTTTGCAACTCAGAACAATTTTAAGGGGCCTAGGATGCGGTGAAATAGCGGGTTCAGTAGAGCGCTTTCCGAGTCTGAAGGCTTTCAACGCGGAAATTTCTTCGTCGGGTTGAAGCAGTGTGTTTAGAAGACCTTGGAACAAGCCGAGACCAGCTAATACGCGTTCTTTAGGTGTATCTGCTTGAGGCTCCTGAAGTCCCTGTATTACTAGGCACTGTTCTCGGAGCGGCCGGTCTTGGTTGTGTGATGTTGGTGACTTGGGAGTTCCTGGCGAACCATTCATGATGACATTCTGGTTGCCATCCACTCCAGGGATCTTTTCTGCAGCTAATGATATCGTGTTTAGGGCAATACTGCTCCTGTCTTTTATGTCACTACAGAGGATATTTGCATTTGCCGCGTCTGTGTCTACGCTGGCGCTGGAGGTTTCTGTCGATTGCTCAGACGAGCTCTGCTTTTCCACCCTAGGAAGTTCCTTTCTTCGAGTACTCCGAAGTCGTCCGATTTCCGTCTCTCTCTCTTTTCAGTCGTCAGTCCACTTTGATTTAACTGCTTCTTTTGATGTGACCTCAGTTGCATTTGAACGGTCTGAGTATTATTATTAATTCCTTGGTTCTCCTCGGTCACATTGCGGGGGGCGGTGATCGTCTGCTTTCTGCTCTTCTGCGGGGGATTAATATCATGCCTTGTCATATTCTCCGCGATTTCCTCTGAGGTTTCCGTTCATGCGGTAGTCTTTTCTATGTCGAATCCTTTTACCTTCTTCTGTGGTGGAGATCGGACAGCTTCTACGCTGCCAGTGAGCTGGTCATTGTTCTTCAGCTGGGTAGTTATCAATGATGAGAGTGTACTGCCATTATCACTTCGCAACTTAGTTTGCGATTTTGGAGTGTCATTTATCATCGCTCTTGTTGAGGGTGAGGCTGTATGTTCATGTTTCCGTTTACCTTTTCTCTTAACACTCTGTTCATTTCTCAGCCAGCGATCTCCTGAAACGGTGATCCCTCTACTAGTGGGTTGCTGTTAGTCAACTCTGTCAGTTTCGAAACTATCTGTTGGCTGCTGCTGGATTCATCAATTGACCTGCATTTATCATACTTTAGTAACAATGCAATGAGATCTATAAGGAGGTTCATGTTCGTCTCCAACGACGTAATGTTTAACGCGAGATCTCGACAATATTTATTCCGCGAACCACAATTTGAAGGTTTATCATCTGGTAGAAAATCTTGTGTAGGCGTAGCGAATTTCCCGGGATAATTTGCGTTGCGGGCCACCTCCGTCCTGTTTTGAACCACTTCTGGCGTACTGCGTTCGTTAGATCCTCCCTGCCCGACGTGAATCGACGCTGGTCCGCATGGAGTTGCTAGTGCACTATGTTCATGACAAAATCCGACACATTCCCTAACCGTGGGGCTAATGCAATTAATATTCTTTGAGGTAATACCATCGGTGCCGATGGCCGAGGGGTCTAGGCGTTCGCCTCGTGAGGCGATGGTCGGAGGTTCGATTCCTGCACTCCATGTCTCTTTTTTCATCCCGCGGAACTGATGGATCGTACACTTCTACATTTCCCATGTCTCAATGCGCCAAAGTCAAGGATACAACAACGGCCGAAAGGTTGGCAGCAGAAGACAGACACAATCAAAAGAAGACCTAAGGCTTTCAGATGTCAGGGAAGCTTTAGACAACGGAAATCTAAGCGAATGCTTCGAGACTTCAGACAACAGAAACATAGTCAAATTTAACGGTACTACAGTTAACAGAAATTTAAGCTAATGCTTTGAAGCAAAGGTACAGCTAAAGACTAATTTCGAAGTGAGACTCAGCCTTTGTGGAAGTTTTTCTAAGCGTTTCGTTGGCTGGAAGATTGGTCTTTTTAGGCTCGTATGCAGAACTGGTAGTGTCGAAGTCCACGTTCTGCAAAGGTGGTGTCGTAAATTGATGACGATGCGAATATTGCTGTCTGTGATTCAATTTTCTAAAATCCGTTTGACTGCAAGAGGATCCAGAGTGCGGAAATCTCGAAGAATATTAACCCCTCGGAGGACGAAAATTTGAAACCAAATTCGAAACGCGGGATTGTATCTTGGCATACGTTTGCAAGCTGTTGCAGAAATTAAACTGCCAACAACGATTACTTCCTACGACCTCACACCTTAACTCAAAATCCGTTATTTTTTGAAATTTACCTTTGTTTATTGTTTAATTATTACTCTCATTTCCGCTGTCGTACAATAGCGCAGGATTAGGCTTTCGACATAAAGCCAGGCACTTTCTGTGTTTTCTTTCACTGTGTCAGCTTACTTTCTAGCGTGCTGCCCCACCCACGAAACTCCCTTTACCATAAATCCCGCATGGCACGATCCAGGGTCTACTGACAGTTAAGTGAGGTCCTTCTCTATACCGTTAGCAGTTCGATTACTAAATGACCTCCATCCCTTCTTGTGGAGTGTGGGCGGAGAACAACTATAGCCAACTACCAGTCGCCAAGCACTGTCCGCAAATTGTGTATTTCTTTATAATCTTCACGAAATAGCCGTTTACATGAACCAGTCGTCGGAAAATATGCGCTTATACATGGCGAAAATACAAAAACGTCAATTTGGAGCTGGCGATTTAGATAGAGATCCAAGCATGCCATGTTCATCTGGAAATAGGCGAGTGGACTTGGCGACCTAGAATTAGTGACAGAAGGAACATGTGCACATCTCTTTACATACTGGTAATTTGACTTCCATAGAAATATTTACTGAGATTATTTCGCAAACATCGCTATGGCATGCTATCAACGTCCTGTGAAATGCTGCCCTGTGAATCGCCCAGCGATGTAAATCTACTTTTTAAACTCCGGCCGGTTATCATGTATTTAAGTAAGTTCTAGGCATTCCGTCGTTCTATAGTACGTATTGGGTAAATTTTAATAAGCAAACATTCAGAATTAACAAGCTATCAAAGCAGAACCTCGAAATAATCCCCGTCCGTTCGCAAATCGACTTGTCGCCATTCTTATGACCCACTGAGGAAATGGCATTGAGGCAAAAATGTGTACCTGTTGGAAAAGATTTTTAAGATCCAGCGACAACAGTGGTGGAAGAGATTGACAGCAGTGTGCAGATTCAGTCAGTTCAAAAAACCGCCATAAGAAAAGAATCTAGCGCGAAAGAGCTTACATCTATGCCGAGGAAATTTAGCCCAAGTATCCCGCAGTGCTTAAAAACACACTCCACTTGGTGAGACAGACACCTGTGCTGCAGTTTGGAGAATACGTAAGGGTCATCCTGGAATAAACTAATCAGCCCTCAACCCGTATCATGTCAAGTCTAAGGAATCGTTTTCTGATGATTCAGTCAACAGCATATTCCACAAAGAAAATCATAAGTTCCAGGCCGGAGCAGGGGTTGCCAATTGAAGTAAAGATGAAAGCGTCAGTTAGCACCGCTGTGTCCAGTGATTGGAGACGTCTGCAGAATGTTCTCCGCACACGTTGTATCTTTGTATAACCGAACTGCCGTTTTTCCGTGATAATAGTTGGAATGAAATTCGAAAACATGCTGTTTTTTCCAATCTCTGTCATCACACTCTAAGCGTGA